GAGATTGAAGAGTTTAGGACACAAGAAAGAGAGAGAATCAACACATCATCATCTTCAACAAACATCAACACAGAGAGAGAGAATCAACATCTTCATCTACACATCATCATCATCATCATCATCATCAACACATTATCATCATCAACAACAAGATCCATATCCAGATCTACTAGAAAGGAGGGGGGAAAAAAGTAGAGAAAACAGAGGAGGCGATCGGCGATACCCACCGGCATCACCGTCGATCTTCCTCCTCCGCCATCACTGCCATCGCCTCTTCTCTCTTCCTCTTCTCTTCTCTCTCTCTCTCTCTCTCTCTCGCCTCTTCTCTTCTCTTCCCTCTGTATTTGAAAGCAAGAAAAAAAAAAAAATCGTTTTGTATATTCGAGCCACCATTTTCGAGCAACGAAGTATTATTCATATTTGAAATGTTTGGAATACAATTGTTTTGGAAACAATTTGAAAATTGAAAAACACTTTACCTACATTAAAGAAAAAAATTGAAAAGACAATGAATAAAAAAGAATTATTCCCATTTTTGTTTTCTTTTTATGACTTCTCTATTAACTTGTTAAATCAATATGTAAAATAAAAAAAATAAAAATAAATAAAAAAAAGCAAAAACTTTTCTTCTAAAGAACACAATGTCGTAAAAACTTATATATATATATATATATATATTTAAAATGTATACAAAAAATTATATAAAAATAAGTTTATACTCAAAATGATAACCTATATAATTTAAATTGACTAGACACACACACACAAACACACACACACACAAAACACTAAAAAAAATACTAAAAATACAAAACTCATTTTCAAAAAATTGAATTTAGAAAATTAGAATTTTTTTATCTCAACAATGAAAAAAAAAATAATTTTAAATAAATTCTTTAGACAATAATTGAATTTTAATTATTTTTTTCACCCACTCAATTTTGAAATTAGTATTATCGATTCTATTAAAATCAATTTGAGCAATAAACTAGTTACAAGTACGCGTATGCATACACATAAAGCAGCCAATAAAGTTTCCCCTCAATTAGGTTATCCGTGATCGATTCTAGATAATTTGAGACTTAAAAAGATAATTATGAAGAATTTTATATTTTTTTGCAAAGTATATTATTTAAAATATAATTTTTTTTATATTTAAGGGGGCTTTATTGATTTTTAAGGTATAATTTGGAGGTAAAATAAAATTCTAAATTAAATTTAGTGCTAAATCATCAAATTCAGTTTAATTATAAATGACAATAGACGACGAAAAGTAAATTGAAAAAATTTTAAAAAAAATTAAGAATTAAATTACAATAATATAAAATCTTAATAATAAATTGATTTTTGCATAATAATTTTAAAAAATAATAATAATATTTTTCCGATATTTTATTTTATTTTTATTTTTATTGACTATCGTAGCCAAAATTCATCATCCCAAACCACCCTTTAGCATCTCGTATCATTCATCGTATTTGTAAAGAAACTCTCTTGTCTCCCTCTCATTCCTCTTCAACTTGTTGGTCGTCGCCGCCACCACCACCGCCACCTCCACCACTAGCCTTTGTGATTGTTACCGCTAGCCTTGTTGGTCGCTGTCGATCATCCTCTCAAATCACTTCCGCTCGCCGATTTGGTAACTGGTAAGTCTCTCTTTCTCTTTGCTCTCTTATTTACTCTCCAGATTTGTTTCTTTTGCTCTTTTATTTACTCTCCTTTTGCTATCCAGGTTATGGGCATTTTTTTTTTAATATTATTTTTTGATCTTGGAGTGTAATGATCGCAGTTGTTTGTTTGTATGAATTTGGACTAATATTATTTTGTATGTTAGATTATGGCTAATTCGTACTAATCTCTCTCTCTCTCTCTCTCTCTCTCTCTCTCTCTCCCCGTTAACATTTTCATCATTTGAAGTTGGTTCTCTATTTTTTACTTGATTTTTATGTGCTTCTTATATGTTAATTGTCTGGTTTTTACCGATCTGTTCATATGTTTTTGGTTTTTTGATTTATTTCCATGTCTTAGAATCTCTCCATCTATTCCTCATAAATTCCATATATTTCTATAGGTGAACTTGTTTTATTTTTATTTTTTTTGGGGAGGGGGGGGGATCTAAAAACTAACCGGATGAGTCCTTTTTTCTTTTTTTTTATTTGGGGGAAGAGGGAATCTAAAAACTAACCAAATGAGTCTCTTTTTTTTTCACAGTTCCAGAAATATTAACAAATTTCTTGAATTCACGAAAAATAATATTTCATCTTTTTCCAAATGTAACACTTTGCCAAACGTTAAGACTTTTGAAGTGCAATGTTATATCTTTGCTATTAGTTTAAAGTTATCAATTCATTCCTCATTCTTTCTTTCTCTCTCGCCTCTTCTCTTCTCTTCCCTCTGTATTTGAAAGCAAGAAAAAAAAAAATCGTTTTGCAGAGAGGTTTCCGAGAGGATGTTCTCAGTTGTGCACTTGTGGCTAAACTTCCAGAAGTTTTAATTTGCAATCAAGGACTCCTACTATTACCAAACTCCACCAATACTTTCAGGTATAGATCCTTCCATTAGCCCCCAATATTACAAAATTCACATCCAATCATACAAACATTAGCTACAACACCATGTATCTGTTATATTACATACATTCACATCACATTTGTAATCACTAGTAACCCCCAAACCCGTGAAAATATTGCAATCCTGGTTGGTCCCACATTCAGCCCTGAAATGAACCAGAACACAACATTAGCAAAATCCAAATCAGTCCCAGATTCAAAACCAACATCAACAATTCATTTCTCACTAACCTGCTAAATGTTTCAGGCTTTGGGTAATGCAAGTAGGGAATTTGGGATTTATCGATGTCATAATCAGGATAAGACCTCTCAATGACTTCAATGCTTAGAAATTCAGTCTTGGTGTGGGTGTTTGATTGCGGGGATAGAAAAGGGTACTTATGTCTTTTGACTTGCTTGGAAAAGGACACCTTGGTGATTAGAGACCCAAAGTTTGTTGAAACCCTGTTAACAATCTAATAGTGACCTCATGGCCTAATGGATTGAGTAATTATCAGGAAAGAAAGAACGAAATTATTTGTATGAATGAGAGACTCAGGTATATTCAACAAAGAAGAGAGGATAGTATAATTTTTGAAAAATGATCCGGACTCCCTTACCCCCCACCCCTTTTGACCCCCGCTCTTTCTGATTGATCAGTTTTTTTTTTTTTCCTTGTCCTCCAATCCCCCCCCGCCACATGTGTGTGGGGGTGGTGATTGGAGGGGGTCTCCATCACTCCTCTAATAAAAATTGATTGAAACTTTTTATTTGATATACTTACTTTCTGCATCATTAAGTTGTAGCGATAATGTTTGGGTATCATTTGATTTTTTTTTTCCTTGTAATTTGACTAAAATATGTACATAAGGTACATTATTTTTCTTGAACTTCACAACAGATAAGACAATTACTGTTTCAACTCATCTAACTTTGCTTCGAGAGCATGTTGCAATATATCTTCTGTAATTTTTATGTCACTATCTTGTTTTCTTTCTTACTCACCATTATAACTCATTGTAATAAAAAATGTTTGAATGAGTAAGAGTTTAAGGCGATATCATATTGTTATGAATTTCAAAATACATTTACCCTCAATAATTTGATTTTTTCTGTGAAGGAAAAAAAGGGTACAATTATTGTCGTGATGGAAGTGTTTTACAAAATCTTAATTTGTTATTGAAAGTGTTTGTTGTGGACACTTATTTGTATGACATATATATATATATATATGTATTAAACATAAGTTGATAGGAGAATAATATACAATTCTACTAGTTTTTTCCTAACAAACATAACTATATTACTAAAACGATACATGTTAGAAAATTAAAGTATTCGATGATAATATAGCATTACAAATTGACAATGTATGAATACATCAACATATATAAATTTATATTTATATGTTTTTTTTATATATTTATATATGTAGACACTAGCATATATAAGATATCACAGAAGTATTATATGAAATATTTTGCAATGATATAATATTGGTAATAATGAGTAAATAATTATTTATAATTAAATAGTTGGTTGTAATATAGATGTTTGTGTTTTTTGTGTGTATACACTATTTTTTAATTTTGTAAATTACACTGACATCCCTTGAGGCTTGCTTAAATTACCCTTGTAATTATTAATAGTCTCATTTCACAAATCTCTCTATTTATATAAAAAGCAACAACTCCTAATAGAAAAATAGGGGAAACTATATTGCAAAAAAAAAAAAAAAAAAAAAGTAAAGCAAATGAAAGGGAAAAAAAAGAAGAAGAAAAGAAATAAAGTAAAATAAGAAAAGAGAAAGTACATGAGTTTAATATTTTTGTTCCGTCTAAATAATTACAATAATAGACGAATTAGTGTAATTTCTCAAACTTCAGAAGGTGATATATATTAAATTCAAATCGCAAGGGTGTATGTATAATTTAACCTTAAAAAAAAAATACTCTAGACATCCAAGCATTTTTTTTGATAACATGGGACCCATGTCATTTTAGTAATGTTGGATTCATTACATAGTATAATTGTAATTGTGTCACGTTTAATTTTAAGTAAAAAGTTCAAAAAAAAAAAAAAAAAGGTCACATCTCAAACGAAGGCTTATTATGAAAATTCAAATGACATGAAAAATAATAGCTACATTGTTACATATATATAGTTAAGTTTTAAATTTATTTATTTTTAATGACAAACACAATAAATTAAATATGTTACGATTATTAGATCGATTTAATTTTTTTATATAAAAGATATATACACAAAATATTCGAAAAAATAAACGATTCAAATCCTTTAAGGGAACTTGTAATGGATCAAAGAAGTCCAAACAACAATGGATTGGAGGCAATATTCCACCTCCTACCCTACATAAGCAGACTGCTTGCTTGAGAGAGTCGTCAATAACACGTTATGCACAAATTCTGTCTTCTTTTGTTTTTATTTTTATTTTTGTTTTTAATTTGTTGATAAATCAAAAGCCGAGTCCAAAGGCCGATGAATCTGGACCGTTGGATCTGCCTAATTGATTCAATGGCTCAAGTCGTGATTTCATCATTCACGAAGGTAGAGCGAAGGTTCATACATATATATTTGTGGTCCAATAACTCTGCAAGCTTGACTCCCTATGCCTTGGGATCAAGATGTCATCAACAAAAATAATTTTAAAAGGCCTCCTGAGCTTTTGATCTGAGGATTACACTGCATACATGGTCTCATTGTTTTAGAGCTACAAAATCCATGCATACCTCAATTACGAGTGAAAATAACATGACATTCTTTGTTTATTATGTTGTACTCGTGGCAACTATAATTATTATAGTGCCAGCATCTGCAAAACCATCATCGTTTTCACTGTCAATGGAAGCAAAAGCTCTACGGATTAGTGGTTGGTGGAGCGGAAACATCTCTTCAGCAAATCACTGTGAGTTGCAGGGCATCACTTGTAATGAGGCAAGAAGTGTCACTCGCATTGACCTTCACTTGTCTTATACTTATCCATCCAGAAAGTTGGAATACATGAATTGGACTTCATTGCCAAACCTTGGATATCTAAATTTGAGCTATTGTTTCTTAGCTGGAAGCATATCTGACAACATCGGTTCTCTGTCAAAGCTCACCTCCCTAGACCTCTCTTCCAACTCTCAACTTGAAGGTGCGCTTCCTTTAACCTTGGGAAACCTCACCCAACTGGTAGAACTTAACATATCTGGTACTCAAATCAGTGGTCCCATTCCTTCAGGTATTGGTCAATTAACCAATCTAATCTTTTTGGATCTCCATTCAAATCTACTAAACATTTCCATCCCTTCAGAAATAGGGAATCTGAAGAATTTGGTTGTGATGGATATGAGTTCTAACATCTTAAGTGGTCCAATACCTTCATCAATTAGTAAATTAACCAATTTGACTTCTCTGGATCTCTCTACAAATCAAATAAGTGGTTCTATCCCTCCTGAAATAGGAAAATTAAAGAAATTGGTTAAGTTGGGTATGGGAACAAATCATATAAGTGGTTCTATCCCTCCTGAAACAGGAAAATTAAAGAATTAGGTTAAGTTGGATAATGGTCCAATGCCGTCATCTATTAGTCGGTTAACTAGTTTGACTTCTCTCGGTCTCTCTTTGAATAATATCAACGTTCCATTCCTCCAGAAATAGGAAAGCTAAAAAATTTGGTTAGCCTAGATATGGGATCAAATATGCTTAGTGGTCCAATCCCTTCATACATTGGTCAATTGACCAATCTGATCCTTTTGTATCTTTCTTTAAATCGATTCAATGGTTCCATCCCTCCAGTAATATGGAAGCTAAAGAATTTGTGAAAGATTTCTATGCCTGATAATATGTTTAGTGGTCCAATCCCTTCATATCTTTTGGTCAATTGACCAATTTGATCTTTCTAGATCTCTCTTCAAATAGAATTAGCGGCTCCATCCCTCAAGAGATTTGTAAAGAATTTGGTTAAGTTGGATATGGGATATAACATGCTTAATGGTCCAATGCCTTCATCTATTAGTCAATTAACTAGTTTGACTTCTCTCGATCTCTCTTCAAATATTATCAGCGGTTCCATTCCTCCGGAAATAGGAAAGCTAAAAAATTTGGTTAGCCTAGATATGGGATCAAATATGCTTAGTGGTCCAATCCCTTCATACATTGGTCAATTGACCAATCTGATCCTTTTGTATCTTTCTTTAAATCGATTCAATGGTTCCATCCCTCCAGTAATATGGAAGCTAAAGAATTTGCGAAAGATTTCTATGCATGATAACTTGTTTAGTGGTCCAATCCCTTCATCTTTTGGTCAATTGTCCAATTTGATCTTTCTAGATCTCTCTTCAAATAGAATTGGCGGCTCCATCCCTCATGAGATTTGGAAACTAAAGAATTTGCAAGTGATTAATATGGGTCATAACATACTTAGTGGTCCAATCTCTTCATTTTTGGGTGAATTGATAGATTTGACATATTTAGATCTTTCTTCAAATCGACTCAACGGTTCCATCCCTCCAGAAATAGGAGATTTGACGCACTTGTCTTACTTGGACTTGAGCAGCAACTTCCTCGCAGGTCGGATTCCATGGTCTCTAGATCAATTGACAAATCTTTACTCTCTTAATCTGTCTGCAAATCAGATGGACGGAATGGTACCACCTGATCTTGGGGGTTTGCCCAGCCTTAGTGAGCTTGATTTGTCATCGAACCAACTTTCAGGCCACATACTAAACCTCCAATTCACCAATGCAATTCAGTATCTAGACCTCTCGCAGAATCAGCTCATCGGGCCTCTCCCTGAGAAGCTAGGACAACTCAGCAATTTGTTTTACCTAGGATTGAGTAACAACTATTTGAATGGAATAATACCAACTGGATTAGCATCTTTGCCGTTAGAGTACTTAAATCTCTCCCACAATAATCTCTCTGGTGAAATCCCCATTGGTTTTACCGGAAGGCATGGATCTGTTGACTTGTCAAACAATGCTTTCGAGGGTCAAATACCACATAGATGTCAACATGCACATCTAAAGAAGGAAGAAGTCCTGCATATTCTCTTCATTTCCCTTCCCCTTATTGCAATTTTTCTTGCTTTAATTGGATTTATGTTCCTTTGTCGGGCCAAGGTTAAATACAACCAAAGCGTGGCAAGAGTGATTAAGAATGGAGATATGTGCTTGATTTGGAATTATGATGGAAAAATTGCCTACAAAGACATCATCGCGGCAACAAATGATTTTGACATTAGATATTGCATAGGAACAGGTGGTTATGGCAGTGTTTATAGAGCACAATTGCCCAGTGGCAAGGTATTTGCATTGAAGAAACTTCATCGTTTTGAAGCTGAGGATCCAAATTTTGACAAGAGTTTCAAGAATGAGGTGCAAATGTTAACTAAAATACGACATCGAAATATAGTGAAGCTTTATGGGTTTTGTTTGCACAACAAATGCATGTTCCTGGTGTATGAATATTTGGAAAGGGGAAGCTTGTTTTGTTCCTTGAGAATTGATGTTGAAGCTGTTGAATTGGGATGGACTCAGAGGGTAAACATTATTAAAGCAATAGCACATGCTTTATCCTATTTGCATAATGATTGCAACCCACCTATAGTTCACCGAGACATATCGAGCAACAACATTCTATTGAACTCTGAATTGGAGGCTTGTGTATCTGACTTTGGCACCGCCAGGCTGTTATATCCCGATTCATCGAATCAAACAGTAATTGCAGGCACTTATGGATATATTGCCCCAGGTAATAACAAAAGTACTTTTTCCTTTATATGTATTTTTTTAAAGAAAAAAAGAAACGTTTAAAATGTTTAAATTTAAGTAACTAACAATTTTTTTATTTTTTTATTTTATTTTTAAAATCAATTATTCATGATAGATAAATATTTCACATAATCACTCTATGGAAATATGGCTTCTTTCATTGATCTTTTTGTTTATGCAGAACTTGCCTACACTATGGTTGTGACTGAAAAATCTGATGTTTATAGCTTTGGGGTAGTTGCACTAGAAACAATCATTGGAAAGCATCCAGGAGAACTCCTTTCATCATTGGCATCGTTGTCTGCACAAAATATAATGCTAAGTGATATCTTAGACTCACGCCTTCCGCATCCAACTAATCCAACAGTTGTACGGAACATTGTGCTAGCTACTGCGTTGGCATTTGCATGTGTGCATTCTGAGCCGAGATCTCGTCCAACAATGCTATTTGTATCTCAAGAGTTGCTTGTTTGCAAGAAGACTTTAGCTACACCTTTTCGCGCGATTTCACTACGACAACTATTGAATCCAGAATTGGATTTTACATGAATAAAGGAATAAAGTCCATGCAGGAATTTCCCATTGAGAATTTTTTTTTTTTTTTTTGAAATGTTGAGTATCATAAATATCTTTTTCAATAATGCTATACATATCATTTTTTATACTACTTTTCATATACCACCTTATGTGTTAACTCATTATTGGTGTAATGGGTTTCACCACTTATATTTATGTCAAATGATGTGCTAATTAACACATAGGGTGGTACACAAAATGTGGTACAAAGAAATGGTAAGTGTAGAATTACGCTATTTTATTATTATTATTATTAGTTTTGGGTGTTATAACTGTTATGTATGACGCTTGCTATGTATCACCATTTGAATTTCAGCAACTGTTTTTCAAGTCACATAGTGTTTTAACCTCAATTGCTTAAAATTGTGTTTGGATCTTGATTTTTAGTAGGAATATGTGGAGGGAGGGGGAAAAAAATGTGAGAAGAAAAAGGAAAAAAAAAAAAAAAACTTTTTGTTTGGATTACATTTTCAAAAATTATTTTTAAATGGATTTTTGTTGGTCTTTATTGAATTGTTTCATATTTTAGTTAATTTTTTTAAAAACTTTTTAGATGCATTTAGATTAAATGTATTAAAAAAAATAAAAATTTAACTAAAATATTAAAAAAAAATTCACTAAAAGCTAACAATAATCTGAACAAAAATATATACTCATATTTTTGTTCACATTTTCATTTATTTTTAGTGATATTTTAAAAATATTTTAGTCAATTTATTTTACTTTTTAGATGAATCTTGATTAGTTGCATCTAAAAGAATAAAAAAATGATTAAAATATAATAATAAAATCACTAAAACTAAACAAAAACTCATCTGAAAATAATTTTCAAAAAATCAAACCAAACAGATTATTTTTTTTTTCACATTTCCCTCCTATTTTCTCTTCTACAAATCCCCACTCAAATAGAAAATCTAAACATAGCATAACAATTTCTTATATTTTCCCTATGCAAACTCACACTACAATGAAAAGAATGTTCTTTTATCGACCTTGACAATTGGAGTATCAGGTATACTCCCCCTCGAACTCCTTGTTTAGTCAAGGCAAACTGAGCCATCAAATGTATGTTCTAACCCATGAAAATAATATGAACATAGAAATTTTCACAAAATGCTCTTAACTCTTCAATCTAAGGTTCATTTTGAAGTTTGGATATTCATATTATAAGCTTGTGTTGATTCAGGAGGTGCATTATCTCTGAGATTTCATAACATCACCTTTGGCACAAAATAACCAAAAAGGATCATGGTTGCAAATGTCAGGAAATCCATCTTTAGAACATTATCATCAGTTGAGTACTTCATATTTTTGAAATTTTAGTAATTTACACCTCAAAATTATAATGATTTGCAACTCCAAATTATTTACACTAAAAAACTTTAAAAATAATTTTCAAATTAAATTTTATCAAATATTAAATTTTACATCAAGTTAATTAGTAATATACAAAAAAAAAATTATTTTAAATTTTGTGTTTATTCTTTTTTAATTTAAAATGAGATTAGGGTGAAAAAAAACTTGAAAACTTTAAGTGAGGGCAAAAGTGTCAAATAAAAAACATTCACAAATTATAAAGCAAAATAAGACCCTTATCAGTGTGACAAGTGAAGGAAATCGAAACGAAGTGTTAAAAAAACCCAAATGAAGTTGATGAAGAATAAGAAGCTATCGCTCTTCAAAATCGGAGGTCGGTGGAAGCTTTGTCGTCACTCATCCTTCGTCCATCGCTGTTCCTGTCAGGTCCACTATTTCTGCCCCTTTTTTTTGCATCATGATCCTACAATCACAATTACATTAAGAGTGTGTTTGTTTGGACGGACTAAATAAGGAGGATTGAAATTTATTGGACTGTTAGTTCTGAGATACATCATATTTGTTTATGTTGGTGGGAGTGGGGTGCAAACCACTGTTGGTGATTCACAATGAGAGGTTTAAAAACTGAACCAAACTGAAATTCAAATTCACTCAAAATAATTATGAGGAAAAACATAAACAAACAGAGCACTCTATTATTTTCTCTCTCCCACACATTGAAACCTTATAATAACATAGTTATATATAGATAAAAACATATAATGTGAACGCATTTATTGCAAGTACAGCTATCAGTATGAAATAATTTAATGTGTATACGGCTATCAACCAATGCATTGAATGCAGCAACCAACACATTGAATTTCAGCCTCCATTTTTGACAAACAATCAAGATTACTTCACAACATCCCCCCTTAATCTTGATTCTTCATGCTGCTTTATCCCGAGCATTATCTTCATTCTGTTGAATAGATCATTTTTCAATGGGTTCGTGAAAATATCTGCAAACTGATCTTGAGATTTGCAAGGAAATAATTTCACCTCTTTATTTTTCATATGCTCTCGGATGAAATGATAGCGGGTGTCAATATGCTTACTTCTTTCATGATAAACTGGGTTCTTTGCCAATGCAATTGCTGAGAGATTATCAACATAGATCTCAATGGGTTTTTCTTGTGGAAATCCCAAATGCTTCAGTATGTTCCATAACCATATTGCATGGCACATAGCTAAGTTGGTTGCAACATGCTTAGCTTCACAAGTTGATAATGTCACAATGGCTTGCTTCTTGGACTACCATGTGAAGGTCGTATCTCCCATAAAGAAAGTAAATCTCGTAGTACTTTTCCGTTCATCCAAGTCACGTCCCCAGTCGCTATCTGAGTAGCCAACAAGACTGAAATTATCAGTTGGTTTATAGAATAAACCATCATCGACTGTACCTTTGATGCAGCGAAGAATCCTCTTTGCTGCATAAAGGTGTGACTGATCCGATGTTTCCATATATCTGCTAATCAGTCATACTCCATAGAGTATGTCTGGCCTGGTGCAAGTAAGATAGCGAAGACTTCCAACTAGGCTCTTGAAATAAGTTGGATCCACATCACCTGTCTTCGTACCTTTTCTGAGCTCCGCTCCACTGTCTACAAAAGTGTTCATTGGATTGCAATTTTCCATTCCATACCTCTTGAGAATTTCCTTGGCATAGCCACTTTGGGAAATAAAAATTCCATCTTTTCTTTGTGCCACTTCAATGCCGAAAAAATGAGCCATCAATCCAATATCTGTCATTTCAAATTCTTGGACCATGTTTCTTTTAAAGTTTTGAACATGGTTGGATTATTTCCGATGAAGATTAGATCATCAACATAAAGACAAGCAAGCAACATGCTTCCATCAGCTTCCTTCTTCAAATATAGTGCGTGCTCATATAGACATTTTTCAAAACCATTGTCATGAAAATACTGATCAATTCTAGTATTCCATGCACACGGAGCTTGCTTTAATCCATAAAGTGCTTTCTTCAATTTGTACACTTTGTCTTCATGCCCATTTTGAACATACCCCGAAGGTTGTTCAATATAGATTTCTTCTTCAAGGAAACCGTTAAGAAATGTAGATTTCACATCAAGTTGATAAATCTGCCACTTGTGTTCGGCAGCCAAAGAAATCATTAGCCTGATAGGCTTCAATCTGGCAACTAGAGCAAACACCTCTTCATAGTCAATTCCAGCTCTCTGCTTGTAACCTTTTGCCACTAATCTTGTCTTGTAGCATTGCACTTCTCCTTGTGCATTCCTCTTTGTCTTGTATACCCATTTCACTCCAGTGGGTTTGTGCCCCTCCGGTAGACTGGTAAGCTTCCATGTGTCATTTTTCTCAATGGCATGAATTTCTTCATTCATTGCTTTCTTCCATTTATCTTTTTGGATAGCTTCTGAGAAGGTAAGTGGATCGCTAGCTGCGAGTAGGCAGAACAAATTCAGATCTGCTTCTTCTGTAGCTTCATATATCTTTTGCAAATTTCTCATTGGTCTTGGTTGTTTGAAAAAACTATCATCTGATAATGCTGATGATGATGATGATGCAACACTTCTGTGAGAAACTGGCGATCTAGGTGCAGGAATTCTATGTGGAGGAGTTTGTGGCTCATCTTGAACTTCTCTTGTAATTTTAACTGGAGCTTTTGATGTTTCATCTTCAAGAATGAGTTCTGTATTTTTAACAACTTCATCTTGATTCCAGTTCCAAGCTTCTTCTTCTTCAAATATCACATCTCTACTCATGATCACCTTTCTGGTAATGGGATTATACAACTTGTATACCATTATTCTATCTCCATATCCGACAAGGATACATTTTTCTCCTTTATCATCGAGCTTGGTTCTTTTTGCTTCTGGAATCTTGGTGTACGCAACAGACCCAAATATTCTAAGATGGTTGACACTTGGCTTACGTGAACTCCAAGCGTCTTCTGGAGTCATAGAATGAAGGCTCCTGGTTGGGCACCTATTTAGTAGATACACAGCACATGATACAACTTAAACCCAAAATTACTTAGGCAGTCCCTTTCCTTTCAACATGCTTCTTGCCATATCTAAGATTGTGCAATTCTCCCTTTCAGCAACACCATTCAGCTGTGGCGTATAGGATGGTGTTGTTTAATGCTTGATTCCATGCTCTTTGCAATAATTCTCAAAAGCATCTGATGTATGTTCTCCACCTTGATCTGATCGCAATGTCTTGATGTAGTAGCTGTTTTACTTCTCTACAAAAGCTTTGAATTCCTTGAAGATACTGAACACCTCTGACTTTCTTTTAAGAAAATACACTCATGTCTTCCGGCTATAATCATCAATGAAGGTGAGAAAATATCTATTCTATCCATTTGACATTGGCTTCAATGAACCACACACATCAATGTGCACTAGCTCCAGCGGCTTTGTTGCTCTCCACTTCACTTCTTTGACAAAACTAGTTCGGTGATGCTTGCCAAGAATGCAGCTTTCACAAACTTCATTAGTATGAGTAATATGAGGGAGCCCTTTCACCATATTCTTGCTTGACAACAGCTTCAAGCTTTCAAAGTTGAGATGTCCAAACCTCAAATGCCATAGCCAGTCTTTGTCTTTGATGATGGCACTTAAACACTTCGCAGCATCATGTTGGATGTTCAATGCAAACATCCGATTCTTGGACATTCTTACCCGAGCGATCAAATTACCATGATTGTCTTTGATGGTAAGATAACAATCTTTCACGCTGATGTTGTATCCTTTCTCTAGGAGTTGTCCCATACTCAAAATGTTGTTCTTCATGGTAGGAACATAATAAACATTGGAGATGTAATCATGATCTCCATTCTTGAGCTTGATCAGAATATTACCTCTTCCTTTCACTAGAGTCTTTGAAGAATCACAAAACGAGACTTGTGCTTGTACAGTCTCGTCAAGCTCAACGAACAGCTCTCTTTTACCACACATGTGATTACTGGCTCCCGAATCTAGATACCAAACATTGTTTTG